AAAAAAAAAAAAAAAAAAAAAAAAAAAAAAAGTGCTCCAGAGCACAAATCATCAGGGATTTTGTCTCGGGCTCCCAGGGGCTGTACAATGCTTACGAGCTTTGGGAAATACAAGCAATGGGAAATAAAACCCATTCGTCACTTTCAGCTTTTCATATCCTCCCACACCGCTTCATCAAACCCCGCGTCGGCATTCGTCCTGTCCCCGCGAGCCCCGGGGAGGGGGAACCTCCCTGCCCCAGCAAAAACATGTGGGAACACACAGCCAGGCAAAGGCAGACGGATTATTTTCTTGGTTTATGCCCCGATTATAAATGCGCATTTAATCCCGGAAGGTTCCCATGGATGTATGCAAGTCCCTGCTGCTGGAAGACCCTTGAGTTTTCTCTATGCAAAACAGCAAAAGCTCAAAAGGCAAATTAAAACCCTCGGTATTTTTGCTCCTGAACTTGCAATTATTTCTGGCCAACTTCTAACAGTGACGCTAATTATAACTGTATCGTGATTAATGGGCGTTGGCCTCTCTGGCTGAGCAAGGACACCCTCCTGCTGCTGTTGCCAACTCATCGCTCCAGAAATTAAATAGTGATTGCCCCTGCCACAGCCAATGTCTCACTCCGTCCACCGCTATTACTCCAAGGCAGGAAAAGACGTCTTTATATTACAAGAGACATCCAGAAGAGACTGGAAAGACGAGGTCTGGTAGTTTCAGCACCTGTTCTCCCCTCGTTTTCGTGGTGGCAGCGAAGCATCCCGGTTCTCCAGGTCTCAGATAAACTCTAACACTGCACTTGGGATCAAACGAGACACCGTGGGTCTTAATTACCAATTACCAACCAACATCACAAGACCGAAATCAGATTAATACGGACACCTTAACGCAACTAATGGGTATTCCTTCTCTTCCAGCACTCGAGGAAGTTAAATATTCACCGGTATTTGAGGCTACACTCCAATTTCTGTGGTTCTGGTGCAGCACGGAGCCTTCTGCTAGACACAAGCTGTGTATTTCTGTCTCCCGTGTAGGTGCCATGAGATTTACTATCCAGCTCTTCGGCGCTCAGCTCCATCCTTGCCAAGCTCCAGCTTTGCTCAGTGTCGCGTAGCGTCTCCCCTCGTTCCTTCAGACTAAATGGTTTTGCGTTAGGAACAAGCTTCAGCAGGGCCGATATGGCTCAGATCTAATTGCAATGTCCTCCTCCGTGGGAAATGCTCACTGATTGATGGCTCATCTCTTCCACGTCTGGCAAAAGAAGGCACGCTCCGTCAGGAACGCTTTTGGAAGCAAGGGAGGAAAGAACTCAAACACTCATTTTCACATTATTATACAGCAAGAAAAAGGGCTGGAAAACCCACAGATGGTTTCCCTTAGGGGTGTGTGCGTGCACGTGGTCAGTGGCTCGACGCGGGGTGGAGACGTTGCATTTTGGGCCCTTGCAGATCACTCAAAAGGAGCCGAGCTCCTCCGGTTGCATTTTCCTGGGCAATTAAACATACAAGGCTTAATTTGGCTTTTGCTTAACAAGGGAAAAAAAAAAAAAAAAGGATGGAAAATAGGAACAAAACAATGCTCAAGAGACCTTGCATGGTGACAGCGTGATTAACCACATCCCGCTGCATCGCGGTCCCCCACAAAACCAACTCTGGCCACAGAGCAAATAATCCACCAGCCCAACGAGGCTCATCTGAAAGCAAAACTTTCTGCATGAAAACCCTTTTCCGTGCAAACGTCACCGTCTGCTGCGCAGGCGCCTGCCCGGCTCCGGGGGTCCCAGCCCATTTGGGCGGCTGTAAAGCTGGATCTGGCTAAACAGAAGAGTCGAATCGTTTCAAGCTTTCCCAGAGCTAATCAAGTAAAAAGCAAGAATTTCTCTTGTATTGGCTTTTCCTTCCATAAATTGATATTTATAGACCAGGCTCTCATAGAGGTCATGGGCTGCAGATGGAAAAATCCCTTTTATTCCACTTTTCTCCTACATTAAGCACGCGCCAGCCACTTGAGAACGTACGGCTTTCCAGACCCCGAAGCAACTAAGATATTAAAGAAGCAAACAAAATACACGTTCGTCTTGCAAAGAAAAAGGGAACTTCGGCAACACAAAGCCCTTTACACAAGGAAACATTTAACACCGCTGTCACCAAGGGATGAAGACGCCGAGGTGCAGAACGCGCGTTGCAAGTCTTAATGCTCCATTTATGAGGACTGAAATAGCTGATCTCCTGGATTTACACTCTTAGGAGGCGACATCTACCTCTGCACTGATGCCCTGTTGTTGTGTAGCCGCTCCCAGCGTAGAGCTTTGGGGATCGACGGGATATCAAAGCGAAATGGAGGTAGCAACAATTTACTGCGCGTTGGCTGTGCCGCAGAGTCGATAAAATACTAACTCTTGGCAGTGACCTTTAGAGATTTTTTTTTTTTCTTTTTAATTGGACTCGTGCCACTTTCTGCTTCTTTAGGGTGGAGAAAAAGGGATTGCAGAGCTTCTTTAATGCCGTTTTTTTCCTATGTTATTACAGTGGCTACATCTTCACCTTGCTAAGGAGGATAAAATACCATCAGAAAACCGTCCCCTGCAACGCCGCGGGAATGGAAAAGTTGGAGATGTTTTTCCTTAGGTCGGTATAAAAGCACCTGGGCATGGCAAAAGGGGAAAGAGCAACACACGAGGTTACTTGGCTTATTTTAACTACAAATGTGTTTTATGCACACCGTTAACTCCTTGGATAATCTTGCTAGAGGCGGTGGGACGCAGCCAGTCGGAAACAAATTGATGGGCTTTGCTGCACCTGCTGAAAGATCTGGGGTTGCTTCATAATTAAACACAACTAGTACGAGGCCACAACGTGGATTTGCCACTGACTGCCAGCGACTAAATTAAAACGTCTTTTTGAGAGAGCTATGAAATGCATCACAGTTTGGCCTCAGTCTGCAGCTTGGCTGAGAAGAGAGGCGAGGAGACAGGATCGTTACCGGAGAATGAAACGTAGGAAAATAGAAAAAAAGAGAATTAAAGGTCCTCTGCAAAAGCAGAAAAATAATTGAGTTGATGCGTTCATGCTTCGCTCTGAACAAAGACAAACGAACACAACCCCTTTTCCACTCCTCAGATGGGATTATTTTTTTTTTTCCCCCGGTTGCTTGATGGCTTCCTTAAAAAAGGCAGAGACATTCATGACTTAGGAGCGATCATAAAGCGACAAACTCCCTCTGCCATGCGCCAGCTGGCAGAGAGGCTGGCTGCTGCGCACTGAGGTACCCGGGCAGGATTCTTCCCTGCCTCCTCGCCCGTTCAGTCAGTTTAACACCTGGAAGGACCCAGCAGATTTACAGCTTTCCCCGAACCCAAATAGACAGATGCCCACGTGCCTGAGAAAGCAAAGTCCAGCAGCCTGCCCCGTACCCTTGGCCTCTTGCACAGAAATTTGGGGAAAAGCAGAGAAAACGTCCTGCCTGATGGAAAGCCGAAAGCTTTCCACCTGAGCATGATGGAAAGAAAACACTGAGAGTAATAACTGCCCACTCTCTGTGGGTGCTCTGTGTCAACCCAAACTTTTCTTGGGTTCTCCTTTCTGCACAAGCAAAGCCAGTTTCTGACCCCAAATCCAAGCACAAATCTTGGGCACTTGGGTGATAAACATCAGCCAAGTTCCAATCCCCAACCTTTGAGCTCTCGGGCTGCTCGCCACCACGGATGAGGCTGAAGTTTGACCCTAAGGAAGTACGAGGCTTCGAGGAAAACTGGGCAAAGCTCAAAGCCAGACTCAGGATGCGGATCGTGGTCCCAACCTTCCTCCTGGCATCTGCAGCTCCACGGAGAGGCACTTGCCCCGTGTCAGGACAAATACCCAAAGTCCAAAGATGGGACAGGGCAACAATGTTCACTCTTCCCAAAGTTCGAGGCACCGTCACCTCCCCACGTCAACGGTGCCAACTCCTTCCCCCTTGGATCAGCAATTCAGGGACAATATTCTCACCCCAGCTTTCTGCTGGCAGCTGCTGGGGATGAAGCTGTTGCTGGGCTGACAGCTCCTGGCAACACAGATGGCCATTTATAACTTAATTCCCTCCAAAACTTGACAGAATCAAATCCGATTTATATTTAAAACCTGGAAATCGTGAGCAGATGGGAAGAACGAGGTTCTTCATCTGAAGAGCATTTAACGGCACGCCAGAAAAATCACAACGCTTGCCTCAAAAGCACTTGATATTCATCAAGGCTCAGCAATCCTTATTGCCAGCTCTGGTTTTGCTCCCCATCCTTCCCAATTAAGAGCATCATGTGGGCAGGTTAATGGGTAAACGCAACAGGCAGCTCCTATAAAGGGCTCTCGACAACCTGCGAGGCAGATGGGAGTGGTCGCCTCCATTACGGCCCTTTCCCACCCCATTTCTGTGCCTGTTGCATTTCCTAGCGGTAGCACAGCAGAAGTCCATTGCTCATTTGCATGCTTTGGAGAAAGCACTTTAGAGAGGTGGAGCATCGCAGCCAGGATTGGGCACAAACCGCTCCCTCGCCCTGGTTTCTCCTTTCGACCATCCAAGAGCTCAAAAGGAAAGTCCACTTTTGAAAAATGAGCTCAACGTGTCACAGATTTTCCCAACAGCTTCTGCTTTATTCAGCCACCATTCTACCTTACACTGCAAGCAGAAACACATAAAAAAATAAAATCATTTCGCTTCCATTTAAATAAAACCCCCTACCTGGAAAGCATCACCAAATACCTCCAGTAGCAAACCCAGCCTTACATCCAATGAGATAAAAAGAAACCTTTTGCTTGTGAGCTTCAAAACGAATCAAAAAAAAAAAAAAAAAAAAAAAAAAAAAAAAAAAAGGATCAAATCAACATTAAATCATCAACATTTAGTAAAAAATAATTCTGAAAAGATCTGAGATATTCACCTCCTTGCCAGCACAGTGCCAACAGTGCTGCAGAGGGATAGCCCCATCTGCAGCCCAAAATTTCTCTCCGTATTGTGCGTCTGTGATGAAGAGCTTAATTACCTGTGCTGGAAAGTTGCTTTGGATCCTCAGGCATCACTAATGGGAAACGGATTTCATGAGGCGTGGCAAATCCTGCTAGATTTACGGTGACGATTTATTTCGGTTAATATTTATGCTCTATTTGAAGAGAGCTGTAAAAACAAATATTAAAGGATTTGCTGTCCTAACATATGCATGCTCTGCTTTTAGATGCTATTACTCGATCAATAGTTAGATTTCAGGAGTCCACTACGAGACGGGCAGCTCCACCATCATAAACCACTCATTTTGCTAAGGATGCTCGAGGAAGCGTTGTGACGTTTGCTGTCCGAGACACGAATCTCACACGTAAATGGAGGGGGGGAAAAAATAACTAAAAATGAACTATTTCACCTCCTCCAGCGCAGTAGAAGAAGCTGAGAAGACATCGACCGGATCTACCACGTACCTGTGGAAGCAACAGGGAGCAAACGATGCCCAGAGTGGCCTCGAAGTTGTCTTTGAGCCAGAGCCCGACGGCGTGGATGCAGCCTCGCACGTGGATGATGCTGAGCAGCTCCAGGCGCTGGAAGAAGAACAGAGAGAAGCATCGAGGTTTTCACCTGGGGAGGAAATCTTACTCCTCACGTTTGCTCCTCCTTGCAAGCCAAAGGAGCGGCATGAGGAATGTTTGGGAATTGAGTTCTTGGATTGGACCTTTCCCTGGGTTTTCTTGCCAGAAAACTGTCCCTGGGAGCTACGGACCATAAGCACAGAGAGACGGTGAAGCTCTCCGCCGAGATACAGCCCGGTGGTCAACCCTGAAGGCCTCCAAATCAGCTTCTCTCCTACCACCAAGCCTCAGAACACAGCCCGGGACCCGCGTTTCCCAGGGCAGACCTAGAAAGGCCCCGCCAAAGCCCACAGGGACTAGCCACGCGTCTCGCGAGCTCGCCTGTGCTCTGCCAGCCTGAGCAACACCCCGAGATGCCAGGGAAAAGCAACAAAAACGAATTTATACACGACTGCAGTAACAAAATCAAAACGAATTTACACACGGCTGCAGTAACAAAATAAAAATGAATTTAAACACGGCTGCAGTAACAGCCGTTCTTGGTGCGGAAGCATTTCCCTGCAGATGACTGGTTTTGTTTAGGGGGCTTGGGGAAGGAGAAGCAAACTCTTACGTGTGAAGGAAAAAACCAGTGTTACCTCTTTATCAAGTGTCCTGTATCCACACAGGGTGTTAATGACTTCTCCAGGGACCTGTGAATAGAGAACAGACTTAGCTCAGAGGAAGCCAAATGGGAAACGCAAGAAATAACACACACCAAAAAAAAAAAAAAAAAAAAAAAGAAATAGAAGAACTCGCTCCGCTGTCTCGACCATTCAGCACAGCACAGGGCAAGCAGCTACCCTCAAACCTCACTTTGCAACCACGGGCTCCTTCTTGTCCAAACGCAATACTGAAGCCATGCACGTTAGCAGTAAGTTGCTTCGGTTTTTAATTTTTATTTTTTTTTTAAACCACTTTTCTCTCTGGTTTCTGCTGTTTCAGAGGATTGCTCACGGCCCCTCAATGTTTTTCCAGCGATTTGAGCCGGGACGCCCTCCACATCACGCAAGAAATCAGCAAAAAGCAGCTCTTCCAAAATGTTCCCTTGGTTTTCTCCTTGTTTAATTCCGGCCGCCTTTCCCAACACCTTCAGTTGTGTCTCTCCTTCAGAATAAAGGGAATTTCACAAAGATTAAATGTATTGGGCATTCCAGAAACCAAGGGGGATTTTTCCTGAAGCCTTCCATCACCTTGAGGAGAAACATAAGGATTTAAGCCCCAAGGCTTAGATTCTTGTGGATCGACAAAAAATTTTTCAAGAGGTAGAGCTAATGAGAAAAATCCCAGGCAGACACCGCTATTCAGGACCTTTGTAAAATAAAATCAAACCTAATTCCTCTCCTTCTGTCAGGATGGAAAGTGAAATGTGGCACATTTTGGGTTAAGAAAGTGATTCTTGCTCATTCCAAAAAAAAAAAAAGCAAAGCTGGAGAGTAGCTCTTGAGCTAGTTGGGTACTTTGCACCTCTCGGGACTGATCTTCTGATGTTTTGGTTTGGTTTTTTTTTTTTTTTTTTTTTTTTGCTTGTTTCAGGGATCAAACAGCAGCTTCCATAACACCGTGTGTTGCTAAAGGGGCCTTGTGCCCATAAAATAATAACGTGCTGAAATTATTATGCTCTCAGAAAGATGGCTTTGACAACCAGCAAAAACTCTTGGACAACAAAACAAAAATATCAGAGGCACAGAGATGAAAAAAGAGAAATGTGCACATTTAGATGTAAATTATGCTTTCTTGCAAGACACAGCATAAAAGAAATGTGCGCCTCCGGACAGACTCCAGCCATAAAGCTGCAACTTGTTCCTCCCGTAATCGGCAGGGAAATGATTCCAGTGTTGCCATTCCAAGAGCTTCGATACCTAGCACATAACTCACGGCGCTATCAAAAAAAATCCCATCTCTCACCATGCAAGACACTATTTACGAACTGGGCATAGTTAAGGAGCCTAATTAGTCCCTGTTCATATGAAAGACTTGCAGGGAAATCTGGAGATCAGCGGCAAAGCACCCATCAGTGTCGCTGGGAGAGATCTCCCCCCGGTGTGGGACCATGAAATGGGAAGCCTTCACCGTAAGAGCACTGAAAAATTCCCCTTAAAGGAATCTGTACATGACCGAGGATCTGTCTATTTGGTTTACATTAAAAAAAAAAAAAAAATTAAACCATTTTTCTTGACAGCTTTCCGTTGTCCTTGCTTTTCAGACTCCCTTTTGGGGACACCACAGGACCCTTGCCAGTGGAACGCCGTTGCTTTCTATCCAGGCTCGTCGTTGGAACGCGTCCGCCTACGGTGCAAATTCACCACCGCTTCTCTTTCTTCTTGCATTAAACAACCAATCCTCTCCAGTCCTGCCCATCTCTTTGAGCAACTCCCTCGATGCCTTGCATTTGGGAGAAGCGTGGAAGATAGAAAAGCGAGGTTTTAGCCTCGATCTGCTTTTGTCAAGGTCTTGCATGGAGGAGAAGGTCAGAGCTGGATTGAGATTTCTGACATAAAACGAGGCAGAAGCCTTTATTCTTCCAGAACACGTTTTGTTGCCTTCAGGGATCACAAGAGAGCAGCACACACAGACATTTAAAACCCACTGAGGGCAGATGACTGCAATCCTTGCACTTTTTATTTAACCGGCTGCTTTTCTCCCCAAACTCAGCGCCAAATGTCAGCGGTGACACGTCACAAGGGGTTCGGAGATGCTGTGCTTGGCAGAGGCACAGCTATGCTGTGGGTTCCCGGGGGAAGGTTTTCTCCTTGGAAAACCATTTAGGAACCCACTTGAGATGAGGAGCCGGTCTCACACCCTCGGGTGGGTGCATATTTGCACCTTTTTCCTTTTTCCTGGGAAGAGCTTCAAGGTCTATGACCTCAGAGATGAGACTCTTCAAAATAGCCCAAGCATTTTTGGAGGATGTCTGCCCTCATCGCTGCATCTCAGTCTGCCTGGGAAGATGCCCCGGGGGATGGTCTTGGAGGGTTTTGTAACAGAAAAAAGTCTTTTCTTGGAAAACAGGATGGTTTTATGGCTGTATTTAATGACAAGTTGAAAACACGTTTGCAATCAACCCCCTACTCCATTTTTTCACGCTCCTTCCCTCAGACAAGCTCGCTTCTACCAGCATCTTCTGTTTTTCCCACAATATTGCATTTCCGAATGACATCTTCTGGCACCTCTCTATTTAAATCTCAAAGACCCTCCAAGACAAAAGGATGCTTCGCTCTCCATCTGTCATTTATGGAGGCACAAGCGGAGAAGAAGGACACAAGACAGAGAAGGGTTTCTTGCCCTACAAACCGGTGGACTTACGACTGGTTGATAATGAGGTTATTCACACTGAGGAGACCATCACGTTCATCTCTCCCCAACGCAGAAGGATTCAGACATGCGCCCGGGTGCTCTCTGGTTGTGCCTCCAACTGCAAGATCTTTCTCTTCAGCCCTCGAGTAACATATTTTAGTGGGAAGGGTTTCCAGCGGGGCCGGCACCCTGCGGAGACCCAACCAGGTGTGTCCACGCTATTGCACACAGGCGACTTCATCCTGAGGTGCAGAGGCACTTCTCCCACCTTCTCAGTCCTCAAGGAAAACCCCCCAGAAGAACTCCGCAATTTTAGCAAATAGCTACCAAAAAAATAAATTAAAAAAAAAAAAGAGCTACAAATCGACATGCTGGAGCTTACAGTAAATGCAGTGATGGGGGGTTTCACTCTGTGGTTTAAACTTAATGTTTATTAGTTTGTTTTCTGTTGCAGAGAGCAGAAAACTCCCGAGGGAGCTGGCTCTCTTAATCCGTTTCATGTCCAACCGATGCTGCGTCGGGCTGAGTTTTTAACCGAGTGCCCTGCAGTGCCAAAACCCAAATCTCTGAAGAACGAGGCTACATCCATCTACCCGGTTATTGTTCTCCCCGAGAACAGGTTTCATTTCTCATGGAGATTTCGATGCATTCGGTGAGGTCTGGCTTCCCATAAAACCACTCGGGCTGTCAGAACCACCTTCACAGGCTTTAATTCTTGAAAAAAAATATAGAGACTTTACTGTGGACTTTCTCTCCCAGGGGCTGGCTGCTCCAGTCCTTTGCTAGAGCATCCTCCAGACCCAGCTCCCTGCAATGGGAAGCCCAAAAGTTGCCTTATTTCTTACCCTACTAGATTAAATCACCTGCGATTTCTTATATCTCCATCACAGCCTGCTGCGCTGAGATCTTTTCGTTTGCCAAATCGTCACCCAAAACCGTGGGGAGTGTCGGAATACTGAAAAATGCACTTGACTCCCTCCAACACATCCTCACTCGTAATACAAAAGGACGTCATATGAATTTCTAATTCCATCTTCAGGAGCTTTAGGATTCTTAATCAACACCCTGATTAGAGATGACAATTATTTCTGCAGCTGATTTGCATGTCAGACTTCCACCGATAATTAAAACACCTCAGATTTCCTTCTTTTTTTTTTTTTTCCAGTAAAAATCCTACAACGAGACTGATGATATATTTTCCTTGCGCAATTAGTGAAGCCTGGGGCACGGCCAAGGGTTCAGAGGCCACACTGATACTCCTGACGCTCTGAACCTCGAGGGGGTTTTGCTACCAGGATTAAGTTTAGCAAATCCTTTTCAGCAAAGCTTACAGCATTTCTGCCCACAGCAACCAGGGGTATTTGCACTTTTTTTTTTTTTTTCCCCCTGCCTTGGCCCAGCTCCTGGCATTTTATCCGCAGCATGTGTTAGATTGATTGCATCGAGGTGGACGGTTGTATTAAACGAGATGGTGTCGGAGCACTTAGCTTAGTCTCAGCAGACAAGCGCTGCGTGGTGGGGGCGTCTTCATTTTCGGCTCTGAAAATCAGCACGAGACCCTGATAGCTCTGCAAACCTACTCCCCCCCTCTCCCCATCTCCGTCTGACCCGACTCGCAGCATGTCAGAAGTTCAGCCTCGCAAAGGCAGTTGCTCACACGACTTCTCTTATTCCACTGCACAAGGCTGGCTCTTTATCCAAATACTTCTCCCGGCCCCACTTTCAGCAAAAACCCTTAAAAAGCCTGAAGCGATAAGACGGAAAAAAAAACAGGTTTTCCCCATTTCTTTAACCACCGCACTCTTCGAGGAGCGGTTCTGGGGAGAGGTGTAGCGTCTGCTCCCCCTCCCACTGAGGGGTTGTTGGCGATACTTGGCCAACGGGAGTGGGAAAAGCCACCAGCTCTTGGGGTCCCCCGGCCTCCTTCCACCCCAAAACAGGCAGATGGGGCCAGGAGCAGCCAACCCACAGATTTACAACTATTTTCTAGCTTCCTACCTTTAATTCCTCTATTGCTTTTAATCCTACCCTTATCAGTGGGGGAAAGCCGCTTGCAAAAGTTGCCCAGAAAGAGGGGGAGAAAAACACCGAAAGGGATATTGGCTGTTGCTGCCCATTTGATATCCCCATGCTGCAAAGAAAGTTTGTTCCAGCTGTTTTTCTACTCTTACAAAATCCTTACAACGAGGGTTACTAGCTGCCAGGGTTACTCGTGAGGAGCAGACCCCAGCAAACACGATCCCCATGTACTGCTCCGCCCCGCAGGCATCGGCTGGACAGGAAAGCAAGAGGCCAACAGCTCCTTGGGATCCACGCTGAGATGCAGCCAAGCCCTTTTAAGATGCTGCTATTTCTTTGCAAAACAATCCTCCGAACTATTTTATATCGCACGCGAGGCTGAAAAACAGGAACTCGGCATTTGTAACGACTCCTTGGCATGATACGAACGCAATTAATAGCCCAGTGTTTTGGCGTTTATTCTACGTTAAAACAGCAGCCTACTGAAATACAGTATAGCCCACATATATATATTTTATAGCTTCTTTAGCATCTCACACTGATGCTGTCTCACACCGCTCTGCAAAACGGCAAGGCAGTTTACAAGAAGCCCTACAGGGCAGAAATATGCGGTAATAACCGGCTGGAAGAGGGTGTTTTGCTGAAATACTGACTGAAATAAAGGCACTTTCCATGCCTGGCTGCCTTACCTTCCTGACACAGCATGTGTAGGGCACTCCACATGCCAGTGGCCCGCTGCTGTTGCAGGAGTGGTACTGGTTAACCTCCCAGTCTCGGTACTCATCGCCGCCGCAGCAAGAAAACTGCAAAAAAAGAAGAAAAAGGAGAGGATGAGACATGCCGCGGAGCAAAGCTCGATGTCTCCAGCCTTGCCCTGCATCCCCAGCGCCACCAGTACTGCAAGCCCCGATTATTTTCTGCTTTCCAGGACCCTAAATAGAAAGCTGAAGACACCGTGTTAAAAAAAAAAAAAAGAAAAGTGGGTGTTTAACCCCGTGCAGCCCCATTTCAGAGGCGTGCAGCAGTTACAGACGCATACACACATGTACTGGAGGCATCCTTGCTTTCACGAGCCTAGGAAAGATCAGGCTCATTCATGCCTCACTGATTTAATTACAGGTGACTAATCCATCTTATTCCTGGGGCACGCGGGAGAGATGACTCTTTCAGCGCCTTGAATGAATGTATTTCTTGGCTCTTGAAGGCAGCTCGGCTAGTTGGTGCCATTCGACAAGATGCTAATAAGGTTCTGCAGTCTAACAGGGATTTCTCTTCCCGTCAAGTTAAATTAGAGATCAAATGCTACAGCTACAAAGGGAAGAAGCTTCTTTTCTCTTCTGTTCACACAATGAAAAAAAAAAAAAAAAAAAAAAAAAAAAATTTAATGAAAGTAATTTTCTGTTCTCCACAGAATAAAAGTGGGCTTATTATAAACCGAGTCATCCCTTCTCTTGGTAAACAAGCCTGAATCTTTACACTGTTCCCCTGGAAAGAAAAGCCTGAAGTAATAAGACGGAAAAAAAACCCAGGTTTTCCCCATTTCTTTAACCACCGCACTCTTCGAGGAGCGGTTCTGGGGAGAGGTGTAGCGTCTGCTCCCCCTCCCACTGAGGGGTTGTTGGCGATACTTGGCCAACGGGAGTGGGAAAAGCCACCAGCTCTTGGGGTCCCCCGGCCTCCTTCCACCCCAAAACAGGCAGATGGGGCCAGGAGCAGCCAACCCACAGATTTACAACTATTTTCTAGCTTCCTACCTTTAATTCCTCTATTGCTTTTAATCCTACCCTTATCAGCGGGGGAAAGCCGCTTGCAAAAGTTGCCCAGAAAGAGGGGGAGAAAAACACCGAAAGGGATATTGGCTGTTGCTGCCCATTTGATATCCCCATGCTGCAAAGAAAGTTTGTTCCAGCTGTTTTTCTACTCGTACAAAATCCTTACAACGAGGGTTACTAGCTGCCAGGAAGCCTCATCAGGGGGTTTTCTTCCCTGCAAAGAGAGGTTTAGCCCTAACTACTGCTGTGCCTGGATTTATTTCCCGTAAGCTGAGACAGACTCTGGTGTGGGTTTTACTTTCAGGCAGGCTCCCGGAGCTCAAAGAAGCCTAACAAGCAGAAAAACCAAAGAGAGCCCAAGGGGAGAACCTCACAGGTCACCTCTGAGGAACTCTCCGTGCGGAGGACCACCACCACCACCCACGAGAAACCATCGCTCTCGAAGCCACACGCTCCAACGAGCCACGCTGGTGAGAGCTGCCTTTAATCCTCCCCAAGAAGAAAGGAGGAGGTTTGCAAGCGCAACACCCTCGTCTCTCCAAGCCTTACTTCAAGTTTGGAGTCACCTGGGTTTGAGCAAGAACCGCAGCCCCGGGAGCTCTTTGAAATTCAAATCCTGTGCTCGGCAAAGAGGTTTGAACTCTCCTCTTCCATCTGTACTCAGCAAACGATTAAAAAAAAAAAATATATAAAGTGAGGAGCGGCAGACAGCTGCGGCTACTGACTTGGGGCAAACGTGGGCTTTGGAGTCGTTGTTGTCTCCGGCCTCGCATTCAGGGGCTGCAAAGGGCAGTAGTTCAGCGAAAAAAAAAAAAAAAAAAAGAGTGATAAAAATAGGTAAGTATTATTTTCTTTAGGGCAATTTATTTCCATTATCTACTTGCTCACAGGCAGCCAGACTGAGTAGGTGTCAACGGGTGAAACCACATTGTTTGCACCAATATCCTGCTAATGTAAAATATTAATGTCTGGCACTTCAGACCACAATTACTTGTTATTTTTACTGTACGTTACTGGTTTAAGGGTGTGAAGGCAGTTGGCTCTAGTTTAAAGCATCTCTTGAGAGAGGGTTTGAGCAAAATTCAAATCCTGGTGTGGTTTTGCCTGACCTAAAATAAGCTGTGTGCCAGCTAGCCTATGCATAGGGAAGGTTTTTAATAGGGAAAATTGCTAGAATAACCACGAAGTGATGATAACAGGCTGCTCTGAGCTTGTGTTTTATCAAAAAAAAAAAAAAAAAAAGCAGGTCTGGGTGCAATCCTTCCAGACTGACTGCAGGTTTTCATCCTCTCAAAGTGAACCGGGCTGGCTCAGGTCCTGTAAAATTAATTTCCCCTCTCTTATAAAAGCAGTTCTTCCATTGCATTGCTTCTCCCCGGTCCTACCCTCGGGACGAAGCCACTCTGCGTTTCAACCGCTGACGTTGCTGCTGCTCCTGGAAATCCTACGCTAACGTAAAAGCTCACAGCAACGAGCTGCACGTTCTTGCACAGCTCCTTCTCTCACTGGAAGATAAAATGTGCAGGTGTTAAAGGCTTATCAGCAACGCTGAAAGTGGCCACAACTTCTTTTAGTCCAGAGAGAAACTTTGAGATTAAGATCTACCCCCAAAAGTTTTTCATAAATAGCCAAGTGAAGAAGTAGACGGAAAAAAAAAATGTTGTAAAAATGGTGTGAGATTATATGAGCCTGATACTCGCTCGTTTTGAGATAGAGAAACCTTCCTGCAAACACCTCTGCTTTCTCTGAAGATCTGTGGTCCAACCTCCTTGCCAAGGCTCGCTGAGGAGGACCCCAACACGGCCCTTCCGCCCGCCCGCAGCATTCCTGCAGAGAGGTCTGAATTACAGCATCCTCTTACCGAGGCTGGATGAAGACTCGAAAAAAGATTCAGATCTGTCCCAGGATCAATCCTGTCTTGAGCCCGTCAGAGAGCTCCCAGCCTTAATGTGCTCGGCCGAGTAACGATGCCTCCAGGAGTCAAACACAGGTATTTAAACCCAGACAGGAGAGAGTGGAGGGCACCACCGGCCTTAAATTGTGGCTACATCAAAGACGAAGGAGCTTCACAGACTCCTTTTCTTCAGAGTGAGAGGTAAGATTCACATATTTATGATACTTCAGCCCACAACGAAAGGAGAGGAATCAGGCTGAGGTAGGAACATTCAAAGTCCATTTGAAAACAGCTTTGTCAGCAAAGCCTGGCTCTCCTCTCCAAAACCAACCCAGGAGATGTAACATCACTGGGATTTCTCTCCTAGATCTCAAGTTTTTGGGTTTTTTCCAATTTTTTTTTTTTTTTTTTCATTCAGCAGATGCTTTCAGCCAAGTGCTTCCCTCCCACAACACCACAAATAACGGGTAAACCAAATATCCTCAACTCAAAACGTGAGCAAACCTACATCCCCCAAATCCCGAGGAACGGCTTCTTGCCGGTGCTGGAAAAATAACAAACGATACGTTAGGGCCAACCAAGCTTCTCCAGTCTGGCCACACCCTGAACGGTGTGGGTGATAACTTCAAATCCTCACTATACTTGGCTTTCTGATGTACTTGGCGGGATGCATTGTTGCTTTGCCGAAGAGCGGCTACCTTGGGTTTCCAGAGACAAAAGGGAAACCGGGGGTCGATAGCAGGAATTAGGAAGGCATTTTAATTTAATACTCAATTTAATATCAAACAAACTATGTGGTGCATAACATGTAAGGCAAGAGCACCAGTAGTGTATCAAAAGTTTGGTTAAAAAAAAACCTGTAAGAGTTGCGAGGATGGTTTTATCAACCTGCAGGTTGGCTTGAGGATAGGGGATGGATCCTGCCAACTCCTGGCAGGCTCTAAGCATTAGATATGAGACAAAATATATAACACACGCCTAAAAAATTAAAGCAGACTATGCCAAACCCCAGTACTGGACTGGACACAGCTCTCGACAGTCCCAGGGGCAGCTTGTCCCCGGTGCTGCCCGTGGAGCTGCTGGAGCTCTTCTCTGCTTCCAGTTACGGTGTGAAAGCCCCTTATCTGCAATTCTCCCACTGAGTCAAGGGCTTGGCCAACTACTGATGACACCTTTAGTGAAGAGACGTACCCAAGGTGGCCTATCGAAAGGTCACTGCAGCCCTGAAGCAGCCTTAGCGCGGTATTTTATTCCTCCCTCTCTCTCTCTCTCTGCAGGTTGGGGCAGCTATCGAAAATCTTTCCGGTGTTAGGCACCCATTTCCCATCGAGATCGGAGTTATAACTATCCTGGTACGGGCCACGCGGTGGTGTGGAGCGGAAGATGCTCTTTGCAGAGTAACTCACTGAAAACACCAGCGGGGTGGGCTGGGAGAGCAGCACAAACGCAAAACTGTGCAAAAAGAGCAGCGCGAAGCAAGAAAGATCAAGAGATTCAAGACAGACCAAGCAAGGCACTCGAGGGATGGGGATAAACTCTGAAGGCACAGGGAAAAGCAACGGTTCGGGCAGAGAGTTAACCACTCGCTGAAAAACTTCCCAACCAGACCTCCCCGGTGCTGCCCCGCTCCAACCCCAAACCTTTTCTTGTACAAAATCCAAGATGTTCTTGAAGTCGAGGTCGTCGTAATAGTGTCTGATGCCCTCTTGGATGTTGGAGTGGAAAACCGCATTCATCTGGGGACAGAAAAACCAAAACCACGCTCACGTGTGGAAAAGGCACCAGGAAAATACCCCAAAACACGAACATTTCGTCGCAGCAAGTGCTGCCAGCTGTTACTGAAGCAAGAATCTAACCCGCACGATGGCTCAAGACTAGTTTTTGGGGCAAGATTAATAATCTTTGAGCTCCAGTTTTAGCGTCATCATTTTTGAGCTCAGAAAATGAGCAGCATCACGCAGCACCTCCCCACTCCCTGCACATGCAAGCGGAACCAGGCACCTTTACCCACCCAATTTTTCCTGTACGCCGCGTATTATATTTAATTATTCGGGTGACTTCTTCAAAAGCTCCCTCAAGCTCTCCAATCCCATTGACTCACGCGATTTTAACCACCGGCAGGGTTTCTGCTGCACTAAGAGGGTCTGGAGGAGGTGAAATGGGCTGTGACAGTCAACACTGTCGGCTAGAGGGTGATTTATCTGTGGGATGAGGAGCAGATACCTCACCAGAGCCCTCAATCACTCAAATCCCAACAAATTTGTCAGCGATTCAGTCGTGCCCTGAAAGGGAACGGTGCAGCCAGGTGGGGCCTCCCCCTGCTGCTCCTCCAGCCGTATCTCCGAGGACACTTTGACACATCGGGCACTTCATATTAAACACTAATTGAGTCGAAAATGTGTTCTACAGATGCCCGGGAAGCTTATTAGCGAGCTGGGAGCGGAGGCTCGCAATGTCCTGTGCAGAGCCTGGCGCGGGTTTGCCGTTTGACTCCTGACAAACCACCAGGCAGAAATACTAATGAAGGAAAAAAGGAACTTTTTTTCTGAGTTAGAAGCAGGGAAAAGGGGGTGTGTGTGTGTGTGTGTGTGTGAAGAAAACGTTGTTTTTCATAATTCACTCTGACATGAAAATTAGAGGTTGGGCAAACCGGCAACGGGGAGAAGAAACGTGAAGAAAAAAAAAAATTAAAAAAAAAGAGAAATGAAGGCACGTCAGGGTGGCAAACAAAGCCTGCCGACAGCGAGGGATCAGGCAAAGGGGATCTGAAAAAACCCTTTAAGAAATTGCTCATGCGGAAGTTTATTAAAATGTCAATTCCCACTGCTAAGACCAAACACAATGGGCAACGCCCAGATTTTACCACTTTCTGCTTGTCTCCCCCCGTGATGCTGTTGCCCTCTGAGAAGGTGCCAGCCCAGAGACAGCCTCTGTAATTAAATCTTGGTTTTAAGGTGGGAGATAAATGTCGCAGGGTTAAATCGTTACGTCCTGGTGATGAGACCTCTCCACTCCCTTCCCTTCAAGGACGCCAAACCCGTTATCTCTGATAATCTCCCAAACCCCATTTGCATATCAACAGAGCCCATTTCAATGTTCAATAGCTTCAAGGCCACTAAATTCGTTCCTCGTCCCTGCTGATTTAATACAAAATCCAATTAAATATGTTTTTAACAAGTTTAATAAACAACCATTGTTCCACATGCAGATTTGTGCCTCCGAACAATTTCAGGTCAAGTGGATTCATCGCTTGTCGAATCTCTCTTTTCTCTCTCCCTCTTTGTTTGATTTTTAATTAGGTTTTGATATTGCCCGTTAAATTTAAATTAAGGGACAATTTAGGCGCTAATGGTTTCTACTCAATTCAGGAGTTTAATCGCGAGGCTGCCATCCCTCCTCTCCTGATGGTACCAGCGTTTCCCTGTTGCATCCCTGCAGTGCAGGATGGTGCTGAGCATCATCACTGAGGCTCAAAGGTGGAGCAAAGCAGAGGATTTCATGCTGAATTTCACAAAAAATGCGGCAGCACACATTGATTTCCTGCATGTGGGAAGGACTCGAGCAACGTGATTTTCTTCGGAGAAGAACATCTCTCTACGGGTGCCCCACATTTTTCAGGGATCAGAGGGTTTTGGAGAGCTCTGGGAAGCTTCTGGCTGGAGTTGGCTGCAGCACTCAAAAGGCAACGTCCTCCCCTATTGCCTCTCTTCAAATTTGGGGCTCACCGAGCGCATAACCGCCAACCCCAACCTGACTTTGGGGCTCACCGAGCACATAACCGCCAACCCCAACCTGACTTTGGGGCTCGCTAACCGCGTATCTCCCAACCCCAACCTGACTTTGGGGCTCACCGAGCGCATAACCGCCAACCCCAACCTGACTTTGGGGCTC